TGGTGAAAGCTCAGAATATTGTTCTTAATAACGCCCATGATTTTTTTAAATTGGCAAAAATTAATGTAAATGGTATTTCTATTTTATATGTAATATATATCTTTCGGAGATGGGTTAACGTTAAGAGCATTCCCGGAATAAAAAGCAACCATTATTTTTCATTTCTTAATGAAACTGAGCTCGAAATAGCACTAACGGCAGATTCAGCAAAACATAAAATTTATTTATAAACATATATATTTTAATAAATTATCTTATCTTATTAAAAAAGAGTATAAATTGTTTTGTTAAAACGTTCACGGCCATTGATAAAAAACTACAATATTTTTTGGCTGCAAGTAAGTTATTTTAGAATTCTCTTATATTCATCTTTTTTTAAGGTATTTCATTTGGTGTGCTTTATTATACAAAATTTGCTGAAAATTACGAAAACATACCTCAACCTTCAAAGCTACTTCCATTTTTGTAGCGTGCGTAACAATACTTTGAGATCAAATTTTTCGCAGCTTAAACCTATTACAAAAAATATTTCGATGACATTCGAAAGTACACACAAATCCCACTAAACACTGTGTATAACTTGAAGGTATGTCTTTTGAAAGACCAAAAAATTGTTATATTTCAATCCGAAAACGCGTACGAATGTGGCGTTCGTAACGCAGGATTTGCCCATATCTGTGATATAAATTGATATGGGCAATCGCGCCACGATATGTGGCATGAACGGGTCGTCGTATTGATCGACCTTTTTTTTTTTTTTTTTGTTAGTTTTCTTCGTTGGTTTTTTACGGTTTGTTATTTTTAACGATTTGTTTTTTTTAACGGTCGGTATTGGTGTATTTCTCGTATTATTGTTAAATGTAGTGATTTTATTATATCGCGATATTATCGGTTTGGTTKTTTTTCGGTTTTCGGATTCGCGGTCGTCGTTTGTTGGTAAAAACCACAGCTTCATGAGCGGTCTGGTTAGTGTTCCCTTTTGCGTACGGAGATCCACAACTCGTATGTGACTCCACGCCTGGCTCAGGTATGGCCAGGGTGGGTGCTCCTTTTAGAAAATGCCCTGGCGTTAAGGCGGTGAAATCTGAGGGGTCTTGCGAGAGTACTGAGCTCCAATAAAAGTTGTGCCATTATCGCTCATGATCTTTGATGGGTAGCCACGTCGAGCGACGAAGCAACGAAACGAGCAAATGCAGCGAGAAAAGCCTCCGTCGTCAGATTACTACATAGCTCAAGATGTACTGCCTTTGTCGTGAAACATAGAAGGACCGCCACGTAGCCTTGCATGAGAGTGGGAGACCTTAACATGGACGCCTTTACCTGGAAAGGTCCAGCAAAATCAACACCTGTTGTGGTGAAAGGTAGAGCGAAATTGCAGCGTTCTGGTGGAAGTGCTGCCATAATCTGCGTTCGCATTTTCTGTTTGTGCATAGTGCAAATCTTGCACGTGAAGATGCACTGCTTGATTTGCGGCTTAAGACGGGGGGTATAATACTCTTGGCATACCATATGTTGCATGAGGCRATGTTCGGCGTATAGCATTAAGATGTCGATGTAGTTGAGGAATAATGTGGCAAATGGTGACTTCTCGGGTGGCGTTCATTGTATGTTAGGCTCAAATTAGCAAGCCGACCATTGGCAAGAAGTAGACCTTTCGTGTCCAGGAATGGGTTTAGAACTAAGAGTGAGCTCTTTTTGTCAATCGGCTTCGATTCTCTTAGTAGTGATATATCGCGGCTGAAGTAGCGCGCTTGTGTATATGCGATTAGTGCGACYTTKGCTTTTTGTAACTCTAGGTGCGTCACTGTGTTGCATGGGAAATTATGTGATCCCTCGACTTTGCTTTTGAGTTGTTCTATTAATTTGAACATATAGGCAACTACTCTGAGAGCTCTTGGATACGATGAAAATCCTTCAAGAATGTCGTCATCATATATTAATGTGTGAAATGTGGCGACCACCACCACCACCAGAGGGTTTTGGTGTCAAGGTGCAGTTGCTCGCACCCTCTTGTACCTAGATCGGCAGGATTGTCAGCACTGGCGATGTGACGCCAAGTGGCTGATTGCACTAGGTCAAGTAGTTGAGACGTTCGGTAGAAATGTACGTGTGTTTCCA